GGGGGGCGGGCTGTGCACGTGCGTGTGCAAGGGGCTGGCTTTGCGCATGTGCGTGCAAGGGCGCGGCGCGTGCAAAGGGTGGGCTGTGCACGTGCGTGTGCAAGGGCAGAGTGCTGCGTGTGCAAGGGACTGGCTTTGCACGCACAGGGGAGCAGCGGTGCGTGTGCAAGAGGCTGGCCTTGCACACGCGTGCGCAAGGGAGCGGCGACGCTTGTGCGAGGGGTGGGCTTTGCACAGGAGTGTGCAACGGCACAGCGGTGCGTGTGCAAAGGCCTGGCTTTGCACGTGCATTTGCAAGGCCAGAGCGGCGCGTGTGCAAAGGGCAGGCTGTGCACGTGCGTGTGCAAGGGCAGAGTGCTGCATGTGCAAGGGACTGGCTTTGCACGCACAGCAGAGCAGCAGTGTGTGTGCAAGAGGCTGGCCTTGCACAGGTGTGGGCAAGGGAGCGGCAACGCTTGTGCAAGGGGTGGGCTTTGCACGTGCATGTGCAAGGCCAGAGCGTTGCGTGTGCAAAGGGCGGGCTGTGCAGGTGCGTGTGCAAAGGCGTGGTAGTGCGTGTGCAAAGGTCTGGTTTTGCACATGGAAGGGAGCAGCAGTACATGTGTAAGAGGCTGGCTTTGCACGTGATTGTGCAAGGGTGTCGTGGTGTGTGTGCGCAACGGGCTGCCTTTGCACGTGCAAGGGTGTGGGGGGTGGGTGTGCAAAGGGCTGGCTTTTCATGTGCAAGGGAGGGGTGGAGCATGTGCAAGGAGTGGGCTTTGCACGTGTGTGTGCAATGGAGCAGCGGTACGCATGCAAGGGGCGGGCTGTGCATGTGCAAGAGTGTTGTGGGGTGTGTGCGTGTGCAACAGGCTGCCTTTGCACGTGCGTGTGCAAGGGAGCAGCGGTGCATGTGGGGGTGCAAGGGCGCAGCGGTGCGCATGTGCCTGAACGTGTAAAGGGTCCGGCGAGCGACGGCCCCTGCGTGCACAGGGGACACGTGTGGCAGTGTCCGGGTGAGCGTGCGAGGGAGCCACCGCCGCCACCCGTGCG